TTGGTGTTCTTGGATTTGAATTGGGTTACTCGATGGAGAGTCCAAATGCTTTAGTGATCTGGGAAGCTCAATTTGGTGATTTTGCAAACGGAGCTCAAGTTATATTTGATCAGTTTTTGAGTAGTGGGGAGTCCAAGTGGCTTCGTCAAACTGGGCTTGTTGTGCTGCTTCCTCATGGTTACGATGGCCAGGGCCCTGAACATTCTAGTGCCCGACTGGAGCGATTTCTTCAGGTATTCGTTTGTCAAATATGGTTCACTTCTCCCCCATCTTCCCTTTTTCCTTTGGGCAACAGTAGTGTCTGGCATGCATCCTGAACTAATACCGTTACCTAATGTTTTTACAGATGAGTGATGACCATCCTTTTGTCATACCTGAGATGGATCCCACACTTCGAAAGCAAATTCAGGAATGCAATTGGCAGGTTGTGAACGTGACAACTCCTGCCAACTACTTCCATGTTCTGCGTCGTCAGGTGAGTGGAAATATTTCATTTATCAATATTTTCCAGCATCGTGATGAGTTTCTGCATGTTCTGACATTTTTCCTTATTTCCAGTTACACAGGGAATTCCGCAAGCCTCTTATTGTGATGGCTCCTAAAAACCTGTTACGGCACAAGGATTGCAAATCAAATCTATCTGAGTTTGATGATGTGCAAGGTCACCCAGGTTTTGACAAGCAGGGGACCAGATTTAAGCGCCTCATAAAGGACCAGAATGACCACTCTGATCTGGAGGAGGGTATTAGACGGCTGGTCCTGTGCTCCGGCAAGGTAATTATATTCCTAGTTTTCCTCCATATATAAGCACACAAATGCATGCATGTACATGTTGTTTGACTTCTAATTGCGTTATGGTTTTTCCAGTAAAGTAATCAATTGACTAGTATGAAAAGCAAAACCTGACAGAAGTAGATCATTATCTTGACTTGTAGATAATTATGATTTCTAAGTTGTACTATTTTACCTGAACATGGGACAAAATGTTTATTCTATCTTCTATCCTGTACAGCTTTATTATGAGCTTGATGAAGAGCGAAGAAAGGTTGAAGCAAAGGATGTCGCAATTTGTAGAGTGGAACAGCTTTGCCCTTTCCCGTATGACCTCATCCAGAGAGAGCTGAAGCGATATCCAAGTATGTAGTCTGGACTCTGTAGATAATGATTAATGGAATGTCGAAAATTTTTGGTGATGTATATAATGCTATGAGGCTCAGGGTGATGGGGTTTTTTGTTCTTTCTGGGGGCTAAATTTTGCTGACATCATGAGGTTGACACATTCCTTATTTGGTCCCTGCAGATGCTGAGATAGTTTGGGTCCAGGAAGAGCCGATGAACATGGGCGCCTACAGCTATATTGCACCCCGCCTTAGCACTGCCATGAAGTCCCTGGGTAGAGGAACTTTCGACGACATAAAATATGTTGGCCGTGCTCCATCAGCTGCCACGGCCACTGGTTTCTATACAGTTCATTTGAAGGAACAAAGTGAGATTGTACACAAAGCGGTGCAGAAGGAGCCAATTGAGTTTCCCAGTTGAAGTCTGCCATACTTACAGAAAACCAAACAACCACGTGTTTATATATCTTCGTATAATACTGTCTGAATTTTTCTGTCCTGAACTTTTATTGATTCAAATGGTGGTTTTTCACCGTGGTATGCCATGTAAGCGAGAGCGGCGTCTCGGAGAATAAGATCTCTTTGTTTCTAAATGTGGTGATCAAGTGTTTTGAGAATAATTTCAGCTGCTTTATAGTAATGACACAAGGTTGGTTTGGCCATTCCGGATGATAATATTTTTTTGGATTCTTTTTTTTTTTTTTTTTTTTTTGTTATTTCCCGTTATATATTATGATATAATTGAAATATTTGGTTTAGCATGATTATATTAATTCGAAGTTTTAAGTCTTGTCTTTTCCACTCCCTGAATTTCTTTAAATTGATGTCTTCGGCGGCATGTATCTCACACCAGAACAAGAATGTGATGATGTGCAAATGACTCGAGTAAGTTGCTCAAAAATAGGCATGGGCTTATAAGAGGTTGATAATCAATTCATTTAACTTTAGTCTTCTTTTTTTTTTTTTTTTTTTTTTTTTTTTGGCTATATACAAAGGAAAATCATTATAGGGCTAGGATCAGGAGAGGTATTTTTTTTGACACATTTTGTAGTTTTCTTTGTAATATTTTTCAACAATTTGAATAATGTATATTTTAATTCATTATTCATAGATCATGCCTACCAAAAATCATTTAATTCCAAAATTATATGACCCTTGAATTAAATGATCATCATTTTATTATTTCTTTGCAAAATTGTATTTTCTTATTTATGCTATATACAGAGGAAAATTATGTAGGAGAAAGAAACAATGAAAAGGAGGGGGTTTGAAGGAATGATAAAACGCAGAGAAGAAATGCGTATGGAATGACAAAATGAAAGATAAAATATTAAAAGACAATTTTAAGTTGGTTTTACTTTCAAGATTTTGTTTTTATATAATCTTTATTTAATTTCTCTCTCCAACCACCTCTCTTCATCCTTTTCAATTCCTCATTTCTTTCGTACTTTTTCATTTATCTCTAGCATAAAAATTCAAAACTATAGCCTAAAAACAAAGTGGTTATCAAATAAACCATAAGTTTTCACGTTGTGTATCTCTTATTTCTCCATTTCTATCATAACGTGAAAGTTTTTCTCTTTATCTCTCTCATCATGTAGAACCAAAAGAGAGAGTGACATAGCCAAAGATCATGAAAGGTTTCATGTGTAGAGTATTTTCTGTCAAAAATCTAAGTCAATCTGAAAAATCAAAATTTCTTACTTGTAGTATACGTGTGCACGCATACGCAGCTGCAGGCAACTACTTGGGCAGTTGGCAAAAGCATTTTATTTTAGTATCAATTCGATAAGAAAGAAAGGAAAGCACAAGCCAAAAGCAGTGCTTAATACGCACGAATCTTTATCCATTTTAATTTGGACATTCTTAGCACATATTTTGGTTCAAGTGCTATACTGCTATGTTACATGTATAATGAAGGACCTGGTGGTTGTGAAATGATCTAATAATTTAGAATTAGGGTTTTAAACTTTTAATCATTAAATTGCACACGGAAAATGCAAATGTGGAACTATGAGAGGGACAGCATATGTATTTAGCTATTTAATGAAGCTTAATCTAGTGCAAGAAATTTGCCACTAATTTCTCGCACTTGGCTCCTAAGCTCCGGAAAAGGATTCTTGTCGGATCCTTTTTCTAGGGATCTCGAGGATTCCGTGATCGTGATCATTCATCGTATATTGTGCAGTCAAGTTTTGTTAGATACTATTTATACGATATATGATGAACAGTTACGATCACAGGATTCCCGGAATCCGCAGGATCCTTTTCCCTAAGCTCCACGATTGGATTTTGGCCAGAATGACATTAAGAAGCTTTTTTTTATCTATTTTTTAAGTAAAGAAGCATATGTTAATTAATTAAATAATATATGTTGAAAAACAAATGCATTTTTTAAGTAAAGTTTTTTATCTTTTTTCAATTATAATTAAAAATGGAGTTCTAAGCTCGATCGTGAATAATGGAGGAGAATCAGATTACATGGTCACTACTTCAAAACAAGGGAGCAATTGTCAAATCCGATATCTGATTCGGGTAGTCTGGCAGTGATGGGATTCATCCCTGTTTTCCGGAACCGGATTCTCACTGGACCCAAAGGAATTGAACCCAATAATCAAATGATCCGGATTATTGAAATTTAATTCAACAGTTATAATTATTATAACTTTTAGAAGGCTCCTGTTTTGTAGCAATTGGATAAAATTTCAATGGCTCGAATAATTTGATGAGTAAGCTCAGTTCCTTTGGATTCGGAAGGATTCGGTTTGGTTTTCCATCTCGGCAAAAGTAATAATGAAAATGATGGCTTGATTGAGACATTGTGCTCCATTTTGGACAATAAATTATTCTCCAATTACATATGCATCCATGAGATCTCTCAAAATATGGAGAGAAATAGGAGAGTAACATGATCGAATAAATACTATCCACAAAGAAAAATATCTAAAGGACTAGGAAGAGCAAAATTGTTGGGAATGAGTCCCATATTGATGAGAGGAGGGATCATTACATGAGCTTATAAGAGGTTGGGCTACTCCTCATATTGCCAATTAGTTTTATGGTGAAACCCCAACTTTCTTCATGATATCAGAGCTAGGTTGTTCTATGTGTAAAACCAAACGGTTACATATGCTCCACGTCATCCCGTTGTATTGTTTACGCGTTAGGCTCGAAAATTCGCCAACTATGTAAGAATTTGCTAACGATGCATATTGTAGTGTGCAAACGTCATAAGTAATCTTATTCATTTTCACCTAACTAATTGTAATTTGGATCTCGTATCTTACCCCGTAGCAGGGTAAGGTCTCTCATCATTGAAGTCATTACAGCAATGAGCCTGCTACTAATCAAGAAAGATCAAGCTAATAGAAAAAAGAAGAAGAAAGATTAAGAATATAATTTGTTTTTGACAAAAAAATGGGACATAAGATACTTTTATAACGTAAAAACGCTTCTACAACAAAACTATACTATCGAGATAGAGCCTATAATGATTATATATCAAACTCATCATAAATATATATTAAGTATTCTAAGTGTAGTGAACATGATATATACATCCTCTAACAAGTGGAGACAACTACCACTAAGACCTAACCCTAGTCGGGAATTAAAGTTAATTCCATTTTCAGCACCTCTTACTCTCTATACACTTTTGTGATATGCTAGTCACGTACGTTTAAGCCAAATTTTGACTTAATCACTTGGAGCAATGATTTAATTACTGCTTACTTACTAAGATATGAATCATATAATATGATAACGAAGGATAATATTCGATGTGTTGAAAAGATGTACCACAGGTTTTGATGCTGAATTTGGTGAAATATGGGTTCTCTTCACAGAATGTTACCGTTTAGCACACCTTATCGTGGAATCCTAAGAATACCAAGATTGAGATGCACATAATTTACTATGCCTATAAGTAACTGCTGCTTCTTCTCCATTTTTTTCTCATCCCTGATCATCACTCACTAGCTAACATTTCACACCAGACACTTCTAACTAGTTTTGGAACAAGATCAGCATGTCTAAGTGCTCCAAGGCTCAGATGCTCACTCGGCTGATGCCGTTCATGGCTGTCACCTTCTTGCAATTTGGGTACGCAGGTTTGTTCATAATTTCAAAGTTTGCTCTAAACCGTGGGATGAGCCCGCAGGTCTTCGTAGCCTATCGGCACGCCGTGGCCACTGTTTTTATAGCTCCTTTCGCCATTATCTTCGATAGGTGCGTCTCCCTGTCACCCTCCTTTTCTGTCTGTCGTAATCTTTTTTGCATTTGACATGTTCAGAGATGAAGAAAACTAATCCACTGAAGTTATTCTATTGCAGGAGAGTAAGGCCAAAGATGACCTTATCTATTTTTTGTAAGATTGTTTTGCTTGGCCTCTTAGAGTTAAGTACCGTGACCACTAAGTCACATATTTTTCAGCTTATTTCTGAGTTTGAAAAAAATAATGTTTTAATTATATAGTACTGTTTATCTTTTTAAACATATTGGAAAATCAAACTAATCAAGTGATGATCTCACTCTTAATTATTATTAGGCCTGTACTGGACCAGAACTTGACCTATACCGGGATGAAGCTTACAACAGCAACTTTTACATCTGCTCTGTACAATGTCCTTCCTGCTTTTGCATTCATAATGGCTTGGGTTTTCAGGTATATTTAATTAACACACACACAACACACCGTATATCATATATATATTCCTATTGTATATATTGCCCTAATTTGTTTGCATGGTTCAGGAAAATGTGGAATTATTTAATTTGTCTGGTATTAATGTTAGGCTTGAGAAGATTAATTTGAGAAGCCTGCATAGCCAGGCAAAAATATTGGGGACCCTAGTGACGGTGGGAGGAGCCATGCTTCTGACTCTAATTAATGGACCCATGTTGAATTTTCCGTGGACAAGAAGAAATCCCCATCACGAATCTACAGTTTCCACAGATCATCAAGATCATATAAAGGGAGCTATCATGGTTGCAGCGGGATGTTTCTGCTGGGCTGGTTTCGTCAATCTCCTAGTAAGTCTCTAAAGTTTAATGCAATTTTTTTTAATCAACTGAAATTCTCGAGATTCGAACTTGAAATATCTTTCAACATTAGAAAAAAGTATAAGTAGATTGAGAGTTGATATCTTTACTTGGAGTAACATGCAAGTAACAAACCACGACTATTGATGTGAAATCCTGTTCCTGGATTTCACTGTTATATGTATTATTGAGATTTTATATTATTTTTCGGAAATTTATATTAATTTATTTGAATTTATATTTTAATTAACTAGTTACAAAGTTTGAAGTTTGGAAATTAATTCTTTAAAATTCGTTGACCTTTTGAGGTCACAATTAATATTTTCGAATAAATCTCGAAACCACGAGCGTATAGGCGAAAGCCGTTTGCGAATCGGGATTACAACGGAAAAGATATGGACATCCAAAATCGTTTTCTTTCTTTTATTGAATTTTAGACTAGAAATTAATTAAACTCCCACCTTGTGGGAAAGAGTCCCAATCAACTTATTGTTTAAGGAGCAATCAGAAATTAGTGAGGAGGGGGGATCAATTAGGAAGGGAGAGAAAATACCTCCCCTTCCCGTCGACCCAGACACACGCACCCAACCCGTTCGACCCAGAGTGGTTTCCGACCATTTTTGCCATTTTTTCAGGCCAAACTCACTCATCCACCACCTGCAACCTCTTCCACAACCTCCCCTTTACCATTCCCGCCCAAGATCGAAGGGTTTTGGGTCCAAAATCACGAGGAACTTCACCGGAGCATCAGAGGTACTCGACATCGATCTCGTCATTCCAGCGAGTTACACCACCCACCACCACCATTAATCAACTCCCATTGGACCAAGAAATAAGACCAACTAGTGGTAGGGGCATCGGAACATCGAGGAAGGAGAATCGAAGCTCACCCATTCTAGGGTTTTGCGACGGGTGCAAGCCAATTTGAGGCCTTTTCCGACCAAATTGGACTTGGTCACAAATATAAAACTTGCTTTACGCATTAAGATCTTCATTTATGTAAAATTTGGTAATTTTTGGAAATAGTTGAATTTTCCGACGAGTGATTTGGATACCTTGATTTCATATGTGACGTTCGATTGATGAAATCTCATCGTATGACTATAGTTTTGTTAAAGGCCGCCACTTGGACATTAAATGAAATGATGTCCCAACCGTTGGGTTGTCGCCGAACCTTGATATGTTAGAATACGTAATATTTGAGGACCATAGGAACTAACGGATTGGAAATCCGACGTACGAATCTTCCCAAATTGAATTTCTAAGTTTGTAAAACCAAATGTTGATAGCAACCTAATTCTAGCAATTGGCAGAGATCAGACCGTTGGATCGTTCCAAAATTTTAGAATATTGTTCTAGAAGATAAATAAGACCCTTGGGAAGTTACGAATAAGAAATCCATGGGCGGATGTTCTAGATTGACTTGTATAAGGTTGTGGACCCCACATTTGACAGAGACTTTAGTTTTGGCTAATATGCTACGAATTGATATTTAATATTAAAAACCAGTATTACTAGAGACTATGTAGGTCTTAGTGAGCCTTTATTGGTTAGTGAGTTATCCCAGATTATATATACATCGGTTTATGTGTATGGGATGTCATATTGTGATGTATATGTGTTTATTTATCTTCTTAATAATGTGAAGGTTTTTTAGCCAAAATAGTCTTTGAGATTTGCATAACACATCACTTTGGTCCCTGAGATTGAAAATCAATAGAAATGGTCCCTGAGACTGTCCACCATCCATTATTTTGGTTTTTCGTTAAAAACTCCGTTAAGTGTCTGGGAGCTTTTGGCCGGAAATTAATGCAATTTTCAAAGCTTCGTAACTCAATTGTCTCTTAATCAAATTCGACCCATAACATATCAAAATGAAGATAAGAAAGTATAGAACAAGATTATACCTATTTAGAAGCCTAATGGTTGCCGAAGATGACCGGAAAATAGCCTGAAAGGTGACTGGTCGGCCGAAAAACTGGAAAACTCGCCGGAAACTGGGTAAACTTTAAACATTCGTAACTTCTTCAATACTCTACGAAATTGAGTGATTCAAAAATAAAAATCATACTTCTCAATGAGACAAAGAGAATGGTACCTTTCTATATGGCTAAATTATCGTGGTTTGGCCTAAAAACAACTTGAAAGTGGCTAACTTGAGACCAAGACAACCACTTTCGAGCCATTTTCCTGCCAAACCACAACGATTTAGCCTTTGAGAAAGGTATTCTCTTCATCTCATCGAGAAGTATGATTTTTATTTTTTAAATCACTCGATTTCGTTCAGTATTGAAGAAGTTATGAACGTTTAAAGTTTACCCAGTTTTTGGCGTATTTTCCAATTTTTCCATGGACTAGTCACCTTTCAGGCTATTTTTTGGCCATCTCCAAAAACTATTGGGCTTCCAAATAGGTAGAATCTTATTCTACACTTTTATATCTTTATTTTGATATATTATGAGTCGAATTTGGTTAAGAAAAGATTGAGTTACGAAGCTTTGAAAATTGCCCAAACTTTCGGCCAAGAGCTCCTGGATACTTAACAGAGTTTTTAACGGAAGGACCAAAATAATGGATGGTGGACAATCTCTGGGACCATTTCTATTGATTTTCAATCTCAGAGACCAAAGTGATGTGTTATGCAAATCTCGAGGACCATTTTGGCTAAAAAGCCTAATGTGAATGATAAGTATAATAAATGTTATGACAATGTGATCCTAGAATCCTATTAGATGTATTATGTAAAACTTATATGCTTGTGTGACATATTTGTTGGTGGCCATGAGAAGTTGATGGTACAGGTGACTACGTTGCAACTTATAGGGGTTGAGGTATAGGGTAAGTGGTGTGTTGAATTTACTGCACCATGTAGCAGTGGTACATGGATGGTCCTGCTTGGTATATCCGTGTTGGGGGACCATATGTATTTTAGGGGTGATTATGCTTGGTATATCGCGTTGGGTGATCACTACCTGCACGATGAAATTATGCTATGGTTCTGCTTGGTATATCCGCGTTGGGGGACCATATGCATTTTAGGAGTGATCATGCTTGGTATATCAGCATTGGGTGATCATTACCTAGAGCTATAGGATATAGTCTTGCTTAGTATATTCGCATTGGGGGACTGTTAGGGGTGATCATACTTGGTATATCTGCGTTGGGTGATCACTATCTATGTTATTAGACTATGCATATGGTTCTGCTTGGTATATCCGTGTTGGGGGACCATACGCATTCTAGGGGTGATAAGGATTAGTTGTACTTGGTACATTCCGAAGGCAATTATATTTCGTGGGATTCCGTTGAGTGGTCTGGAATTCCTACTCTTGCTCATTTCCATAAAGTTAGTTCGACCTTAGATTTAAGTGAGTAGGAATTGCTCACATTAGTCGTTATGTGTATAAATTAGAATTATCATGTTATTACTTGGAATCTAGGCAGAGAATTATGTAGAATTCCTTTATTAAATTTCGTGCATTGATATTTAATCTTGTTGACTGATTAATGTAGTTAAATGTTAATATAGTGCATCTCTGATTCTTGGGACTGATTAATTGAAGTGATTGTGGAATGATGTTGGATATGATTGTTATTAATACAATTAGATTAGTTGATCAATGTGACTAGAGAATACTACTGTGCTTTGTTGATTCTTTGATATATTACATGCTATGAATTGCGCTTTTATGTTGAAACATAGTTATTTATATGACGGATGAATTGGAAATCTTGATTTTCATGTGGGTTGTTATTTAGCCCTGAGTCTAGTAATTTCATGCTTGCCAAGTTCTAATAATTGATTGAGGAATGTTATGCCTTTCGGCTTGAACAGATTGTGATATATGTCGAATTGTAGTGAATGACGAACTACGAATGACTTGATCCTTATTTAGGGTACGTAGGTAGTTTAACGAGGAGGTTAGATGCAGCCATAAAGTATACAAAAAAATTACTATGCTTTTGGATCGTGAGTTGTGTTTGGCCCGTATCCTGGAAGTGGGGTATGATAGATGTATGGTTATTTGGTGACATCTTACGTTGATCCTGGACGTATGTCGGGATCGGGGCGTGACAATTGACATAAGTAACTATGCTAATACATAATTATCACTCTCAGTGTCATACTTGTTAGAGTATATTATGATTGAGACACTTGTTAGAGTATGTGTGTAGTTATTATGATTGAGACACTTGTTACAATTTTAGAGAATCAGTTAGTTGATGTACTTGTATTGTTGACGACTATGTAAATCTAACCTCATGTATTGCTTCTTCACTAAGAGTCAAGATTGTTCTTCTTCATTCTCTCTCTCTCTCTCTCTCTCTCTCTCTCTCTCTCTCTCTCTCTCTCTCTTTCTCTGTGAAACTCTTTGTTGTTCTTCCTTTCTTTACAAAGATTACAAGTACAATATTGATCAGGGGATATAGCTTAACAATACTAATCAAGGCTTTTGTAGGCGATTACACTAAAGTCATACCCTGCTGAGCTCTCCTTAACAGCTTGGATATGCTTGGTGGGCACGGTTCAAGGCTCTGCGGTGGCCGTAGCTTTTGAATGGAATAACCCTACATCTTGGTCCATACACTTCGATTCTAAGTTGTTAGCTGCTGTTTATTCTGTAAGAACTTCGTAATTTAACCCCAAGCTGTCTGATAAAAAATATTGTTGCATACTACACACTCGCGCACACACGCATGCGCGCACACAAACACACACATATACATCCATATATATATATATATATATATACACACACACTCGCACGCATATATATATGTATATCTATATGTATATATACATACTCGCACGCGTGTGCGCCCACACAAACACGCACATATACATACATATATATATATACATACATACACATACATACACACACACACACACACACATATATGTGTGCAAAGGGATCTCCATTTTTTCAAAAAAATAGGGATAGGTGTGGTGCCCACTTCACATCGAACTTTAATAATCCAAACCATCTATTTTATAAGTCTCGACTCATAGATCATCCTTGCAAAAATTCAATTAAATCCGAATAATTTGCCTATGTAATTATCAAGATAAAAATTCATTGTTTGTTGTAACAAAATATTCGTTAATTTTTTTGAATCCAATTAGATGTCTTAAATATTTCTGATTTGACTAATATTTTGCAAGGATGATCTATGAGGGTAACTTAAAAAATAGATGGTCTAGATCGTTAAAGTTCAATGTGGTTTGGACCCCACAACTAATCTCCCCATTTTTATAAGGTTCGATGTGGTCTGGATCGTTAATTTTTTTATTTTTGTTTTTGAAATAGAAGAGAGAGGAAGGGAGTGATAGAAAATGTGGGAGTGGGAAGATTTTTATTTTTTAAATAGAGATATGTTAGGATCACATGTTGGTGAGGCTTTGAAAAAAAAAAAAAAGCAAAATTTGGTTGTGTGAAATTACATTTCTACCCTATATTTCTTATTCATGTTCTGTTTTAATTAGAGCGTTAAATTGGTAATTTCATAGGGTTTTAGTTGACAATGAGTGTTTTATTAATTAGTAGATACACACACACATATATTTCTATACATACATATACTTTACTAGTTTATATATTACAGCCTGAAGATCTTTTGATGCAGGGAATAATGTGTTCAGGGATCGCTTATTACATTCAGGGAATGGTAATGAAGGAAAGAGGACCTGTTTTTGTGACTTCTTTTAGTCCCCTAATCACGATTATTGTAGCCGTTATGAGCTCCTTCATTTTAGCTGAGATCATGTACCTGGGAAGGTAATTTAGCATCAATCTCTCTTTTCTACTAGGAGCACCTTGCATTTATTTAGCTTTTTCAAAACAAAAATACAAAATAAAGAAGAATAAAATGGGAAAATGAAATATGTACAAATGGAACTGCATTATTACAAACTTTCTAACAAACAATAGAATCAAGGGACACTAAACATACAATAATTAAGTCGTATGTAAATCGCATGTAGTGCTCCTTTTTTGCTGGTTATTGTCCCTGCGGTTTTAAACTATTAAAAGTGTTTCTTTATTCGAAGATTAAAAGTTTATAACTTGTTTAGTTGTGCATATTTTCCTACAGAAAAAAAAATGTGGAGTTAACAAAGCAAATTTGTATTTTTACAGAGTTATTGGAGCACTAGTCATTGTGATTGGCCTTTATATGGTTCTATGGGGGAAAAGCAAGGATCAACTTCCATCTAAGTCAGTAAAAAATGATAACATGGAATTGGCTACGACTATTTAACAAATACTACACTGCATGGACAGGATACTGACTTCAGATATATGTGGCCATTGATGTTACTAATAAGAAGCTGATATATTTATCTTAAGGAGGAAGAGCAAAATACTTTATAATAACTACTTGGAATTTGAATTTTCAATCTGTAACAAATTTCATGCAAAGCCAAAAGTTAATTTAGTATAATGTTACATCCTTTATATATGTATCAAACCCAATATATGCATGATTGAGTCCATGGTTATTTGATGTAAAGCTGGCAATTTAAAACCGAGATTAACAAGAATCAGTAATATCAAATTTCACTTGATAAGAGATAAACACAGAAATTAATAGATTTTTTCAATGAGTAGGTCAAGTCATGCTGAAGTGAATTGTTAGCAATGCTGGAACCAAAGGGCTCCTGATATAGATTAGTCTCAACTCCTTAAATAGGCGCTGCAAATGCACTAAAATGTACAACAATAAACGTTAGTACCAGTTTTGGTACAGTCAAATAGGAAGGTCAGGCCACCGAAGGAAGAATTCTATCCCAAACATGAAAATCAGCAACCGAATAACCGACGCTAGTTATCACATCCACTAGAAAATTGACTTCCCTAAAGACATGCTTCCAACAAATGTCCTCAAAAGTTAAATGACAACTTTTTTAAATGACTTAACTAATACTAATGATGATAGTTGATTTGAGACGACTAGCAAGTGCACTGGTGTTTGCTTGCACTCTTCAACTAGCAAAGCACGAGACCTATTTTAATTGCCAAAATTGTGAGGGGTTACTCCCATCCAAGCTCCTAGGGATTCGACGGATTCTACGTAGTATTGCCTCGAAAAGTCGATCGAATTAATCCTCATCACATATTTACAACTTACAAGTTAACTTTACCAAAGTTTAGCTAGTAGTCTAGTGTGAGACGATCAAAATCATAGAAGATAATAAGTAGTTTAATTGATTATGGAACAGGTGTATAGGAAACTTAGGGCAAGTTTTTTAACAAAATATAGGAATTGGAATGATTTTGATTCTTAAGTTCCATGCATTTAGGAAAATATGAGTATGAAAATTGATCATTTCACTTCTTTACTTTCCTGTGCGTTTACTAACACACAAACAATAATTAAAGTGTGAGATTCCCTAGTAATCAATAATCAAATATCAAAAAATAAGGATCACATCAACTAGGAGTTTATTTGATCCGACTTCCTACTTCCTCTACTTCTAATTTCTCGGATTTTCATATTTGAAGGGTTGAAATCCTTTTTTTTTTTTTTTTTTTTGTTGGGGGGGGGGGGGGGGTGGTGGTAGGTTGGGTTGTTGCTAAAGGGTCGTTTTCACAGGACTCATTTTCCAGCTACCGGCCAATAATTAGCCTAATCATGAAATAATTTAGTTTTAATCAGGTAAAATGTTTGTAGATCACCACTACTCACTAGTACAATGCTTGAACAGCTTCTTTGTCTACTATTATTATTATTGGAAAGAATAAAAACCAACTAAATCTCTGACTTGGTTGCCATAAATTGCTCAGTGCAGTTAACCTTTCTTCCCACTAACAATGTTTTTGGACAATCAAAATTTGGCAAAGTGCCAAACCCTACCATATTTTCCGATTTCGATGTTATGCAGAAAATGGAGTTATATCTTTCTTAAGAAATCGTTTTCGAATTCACTGCATCGATTGAGTACTTGAATTTGAAAAAAATCTGAGGCTAGGAGTCTATATAATGAATCGTTTATGGCCTCTACACCTCACATAGCTCATAAGCTTTGTTTCATGGTTTGATTAGAGAGACAAAAGCAGATTAGGACAATGTTTAGTGAGTCTTTGGTTAACCTAATCTGTCGGGCAAAGCTACTCATAGCTGTGATTCTCTTGCAGTGTGGCTATGCAGGTCAGAACGTAATTGCTAGTCTTGCTCTAAACCAGGGAATGAACCATTTTGTATTCTTAGTCTATACAATGGCTATTGCAACTGTTTTCATTTCTCCTTTTGCTCTTATTTTGGATAGGTTTGTTTGCTCTTTCGATATCCATGCAGAACAATCTTCTATTGTTAGGCAGTCATGTTTAGAAAATATTACTAATCGTCAAGATTAAGCACCAAGAAATTGCAGCCGAACATGACCTCGCGAGTAAGATTCTTAACCGTTAAGCGTAATGTTAACGTTTGGCTAAGCAACTCTAAACGACCTTATTTGAAGTATCCACATCCGTCATGTTCAATATTTTCCTGCAATTGCATTTGTCACACACAGACAAAACGCACACTTTAAGCAGTTGAATTTATAAGGGTTTTGCAGAGAAAGTGAACATTAGGAAACTTCATAGCCAAGCAAAGGTAGTGGGGACTATAGTCATAGTTGGGGGAGCTATTATATTGACTCTGGTGAAAGGACCGAAACTTAAATTTCCATGGACAAGGGGCAAACGTCTAAACTATGTTTATCACCAATTGCGAAGTGATTCAAACCCTAAAGACCTCATTAAGAGTGCCCTCGTGACTGCAGCATCTTGTTTCTTCTGGTTTTGTTTCATCATTTTGCAGGTAGGGGCTCTTAAATCTACACCATAGATCACATTTTTATACTTTTCTGAAAACTATTATTAACATTCCAAAATTCTTCTCTTATTTTTTCGTAGATGTATGAAAGTGTGAAAATGATATTTTTTGAAGTATAAATATAAAAAACTCTATATTTTTCTTGATTGTCCAAGTAAAAAGTAAAAATATGATGGTTAATTCTAATCAGTGCAGGCTTTTATGCTAAGATCATACCCTTGTGAGCTCTTCCTCATTGCTTTTACAAGCTTTTGGGGCCTGGTCCAATACCTACCCTTTTCTTGGAACGGGAAAACCCTAATCAAACTTTTAGCATCTTTTAAGGGGGTAAGAAATTTTTATGCAACATTTTTTTTTTAAATGCTTGAATCGACAAATTGTAATTTACATTCACATAATTGGTTTTGCCGCAGGCAATACTCTCTGGGGTTAATTATTATATCATGGGAGCGGTAAACAAAGAAAAGGGGCCTATTTACTATTCTTCTTTTAACCCCTTAGGCACAGTAACTACTGCAATTATGGGTTCCCTTGTTTTAGCTGAGCAGAAGTTGAACGAATTTTGAGTTTTAGAAAGTAAAGTGATGACTTTAGAGTTATAGAGGGCAAAGTAAGATCAAAATAAAGTTACAGGACGTATGTAAAAATAAGCCATAAAAGTATGTAATTGTAAAAGTTTCATGCCCTTGGTCCGCTAGACCCAAAGTCACGAGTAACTAGTTTACCACTTGGCATAATAAGTTCACGGTTAAAACATAATTGGACAACGAGTTTATACTTTAATATGTCAATAAATATCCAACGCACTCATGTTATAACACGTGAATATGAACCTCAAATTTATTTAATTAATGGCAAGACTAAGATAACCAACATAAACAATAGTTAGCCTCCACAGAGAGGCTGCATCATCTATCAGCCTGAAGACAATGCTTCTTCAATTGGAAAGCGGCCAACTCAGCATGGTTACTTCAAAACATTTTTCAGAGAGCAAAACAAACGTTCACACAATATCAAGTAACAGATAATAAACTGTCCAAAATCCAAAATTCTATTTTTATATGAACTGTTTCAAACGGCGAAATACCTGTAAACCATCCACCAAATGCAGTATTCAAATCGAGGTGTCTATAACTTAGTAATTTACTATAATCTGTACGCTGCATTGCTGCCATGCATGATCACATCTCAATTTAACCCCCTAACAAGTTGATGAGGAAAATTCCGATGTCAAGAAGGTACAGCAGTTTCATCTTTTCCATAGATACGCTGAAGTTCTCGGGTTGCGGCTTGATATGATGCTGAAAAAGGCAAACATAGAGATTGTATGAGAGAAATTGTGTTAAGCAGGTCACTCCAAAAAATCATCTAAAATTATTCATCACCTTTCCAGATGCGGAAATTCTTCTGATTAATAGGAGACCCTGTCACAGTTTGAATGGCCTCAAACAGCATGTCCTGAGGAGTGTTCTTCAGCTCTTGGACTACTGCATAAATGGTCTTTCCGTTCTCAAAGTAGATGTGATTATTGGGATGTTTGGTCTTGGCACCAGCATGACGCTCAAACTCATAAGCATTAAGAGACTGCATGATATAATTAAACGTTCGAACTAAGTTACAAATTGCAGATCGAAAGCTAATTGATCAAAGTGGGTAGCTCCAGTAGAGCAATAGATCATGGAACAAATAGGGTGGGAGGCCCAACCACCACACTACACGTATAGATGCAAACCCCCCTGGTTACCATACGTGCGACTCTCACAGCATACAGCTAAATGAAACATTTCTTTTTAATTTTTCTACACTGTTAATAAAGCACTTCCCTAAGTTACAATTTTGAAAGATATGAGGATCAATTCGTTGTGTCTTACTTCAAAGCAGTTGAATCTAACAAGAGTTCATTACCTTTGTGTGATTGCATTGATCGCAGGAACATAGATACCCGGCCCCTTTTATGGTTGCTTTGAGGTTTTTCTGCAGATAACATATACAAGTCAAATCAAGGAATTATTACAGAAAATTAATCACCTGTCAAAAGAATCAGAACGATCAATAGTTATCAGCTTACCTCCCGGGACCAGGAAACATAATTCACTGGAACACCATCAAACGTGCCAGTTGATAACAAACTTTTGACATTTGAAGGGAAGTTGTTTGGAGGAGCTTTCCTAGCAGTCCTTGGCTCTTTAATTTTTGGAACCGTATCAGTTTTAGAATCAACTTGCAGAGCTTCACCTACATTTGGATCTGTATGTGACTGAACTGGATCCTTCAGGCCAAGTTCTTCTGACTGCTGAGCCGTGTTCTGACTACTCGTCAGCAAATCATAGTTGTTGATGATCCCGCCAGAAGGATTTGTCTCGGGTTCATCATGGAAACTTCCAAAAGAGATGGGTGCTGTCATTCTTATTGTAATTATGACACATAGAATTGGTAACTCCTTTATCAAAGGGAGGACCAATTGGTACAACAGTCGAATCAGCCTTGTCATAGGCCGGACCCATTGATGTAATATTATCAGTCTGCTTATCATAGGTGGGAGCCATCGAGATGAAATTCTCGTTTGCTTTACCATATGTTGCACCCATAGAAATAAAATTCTCATCACCTTTGTTGTAGGATCTACCTAATGATATGAAACTGCCCTCTCCCTTTTCACATGACTGGCCTATTGATATAAAACTTCCATCCTCCTTGGCAAAGGGCGGACCCATTGATAAGTTACCATTGTTGCCCTTGTTATAATTTTGCGCCATCGATATGAAATTCCCATTTCCCTTACTGTAGGCGTGACCCATTGAAATGAAGTTGTCATCTGCTTTATTAAAGGCAGCCTATTGAGATTCCGTTCTCTTCGCCATTATTATAAGTCGGACCCAAAGATATGGTGTTGTCATTGCTCTTATTATATGCAGTACTCACTGAAATTGTATTGTTGTCTCCTCTAATGTAGGAGTGCCCCATTGACGCAGACATGATGTTCTCAGAGTCCCTAACTTCATTGACCTTAACTTTTCTGAGTCCACCAAAACTGAGACATGATGATTGGTCTTCGATAGAGTTAGACATTGACAAACCCACTGACGGATCATTTCGATATTGATTCTCAAAACCCTTTCTTCCCAAATTCATATGTCCATTTCCAACAGATTGAATGTTCCTCTCACCTGGGTTGACTGGCCGTACTGGCTCAGATCCGAAACGCCGATCAGAGAATTGCCCTGGAACTGACTGAAACCCTGAAGTATTTTCCCACGGCGAAATAGCCAAATGTGGAACTCCTGAAACTGGCCTGCCATTAGCAGCCTCCATTGCGTGCTTCTTGTTGTTGAAGAGCTCCACCCCATTGGAATCCACAAACCACGGGTGACCTTGCTTTGATCTAATCTGGAAGGATTGTCATAACCCATATCTGAAACTGGCCTGCCATTAACAGCCTCCATTGTTTGCTTCTTGTTGTTGAAGAGCTTCGGCCCATTGGAATCCATAAACCACTGGTGACCACGCTTTGAATCTAATCTGGAAGAATTATCATAACCCATCTCTCCATCAGTTAGACAGCTAGAATCTCTTGGAGTCCACAAACTTTTGGGTTGGAAAGACTGCCAAAGAAAATTACTGTTTAGATTGAATGACAAAATGTTAAAATAAGAACAGTAGCTTTCTAAACATAAGCATATTCATTAAAATAATAGCATCTGAAAATAGAGGAGACATGTATATGAAGACAGAAGGATAAACAGATCGTTCTACAGCACCACTTAATGTTGAATTTTAAGAGCGATCAAAAGAAATTACACGTGATTCATATCTTCCAAGAAGATACACACACGATTCACTAACAGCTTATTTTTATAGATTTTTTAACTCCCACCAGAGATGCTTTCCTAGACAACCAAATGCATTTTATCATTTCACATATCAGTGGATTTCACAAAATGGACTACCAAAAAATTAATCCCGTTCAGAAGAATATTGGCAGTGGTGCTAACAAACCAGGTCCTGGCTGTAACAATGAAATTATTAATAATTTCTTATGTCTGTCCAAATCAGTTATGCTCAGAAGCATCAAATCTTTTCCTACATAATGCAAAAGGACTTGGAGAGAAATCATTTTATGATGGAAGAGAAAGAAAATTTTGCCTTACGGAGCTGTAGGCAATTCAAAGCGTCAAAGAACAACTTCCTAATATGCATGGTTTCCAAAACTAATTGTTACAAAAATCATTTTAAAATAACAATAAGAACCAACACATTTGGTATTAATAACAACAATAGAGGCTGGATTTAGCAAAAAGAACAGCAAGTTGCTGTTAATCATGGAAACTCTTCTAAGGAAATTATTAGGCATTTATTTGATAAAGCTTTGTATCACATCGGTCCCCATTAGATAAAGCTTCCTGAGCTAGTATGATCAGATACATCTAACCATGATTAGATTTCTTCACCAATATGCTAAGTAAAATAATTTGTTAAGAAAATAACATAATTATCAAAGCATAAATATGCGCTTCGTAAGTAAATTTATTTCTTACTAGCTGTACTTAGCGAGCTATGAGAAGAAAATTCCTTCAAAAAGTAATGAAATGAAATATCAATAAATGCAGAAATCCTATGTTAGCTCGTGTACCTTTAGCTAATAAGTACAAGATACTAGAATCTTGATAGGAATTGATCTCATATACTTCTAATAATCCAATGTTAGCTCACTTTTTTTTTCAATTGTTTTTACAAATTTTTACTATAGAAGAGGGAAATCTTTCAGCGCTTGATGTTGATCCCACACACAAAGCGGTCTAAGTTAGACAAGTTATTCTATAATCCAAAGTTGCAAGGATGCTTAACTGGTCACTGCAAATTTATTCAAGTATTCTGATCTTACTATTACTCAACGTAACTGGTATCAAACCTAAACTCTTGAAAGCTGCTAACTAAGTTCTTTTTTTTTACTTAGATGACAATTTCTCTCAATAATGTTTTTCAATAAGTTTGACATTGAAGCAAATTACTAAGAAGCATTATGCAATTAACAGTCAGTAATAACCAAAAATGTATTCTAGTAAGAAAACAGATGCTCATGGATAATGCATATCTAGTTCTTTTTGGTCGCCCAAATGCAAACGTTGAGGTCCAGAATCACTGGATATAGCTACTCACATACCCACCTTACCGTCGCAAAAGAATCCATCCTTTAAATTGAATTCTATGAATGTAAATTAGTAAATAATGTAGCAAGGAAATTACAGATCATTTTCAGTCTGATCACCAGAAGTCAAGCGTGTAGAGATCAAATACCATAACTCTGTACAAAAAGCACATGGCTTTCCATTCGGCATATAAGCCAGTTGTCATTTTTCATTAAAAATTCACAGTTTTCAAACAATCAAAACAAGATTGGGTTCCCAGATCAGATTGAAAATATCAACAACGCAAAGATACGATTAATTAATTCTCAAAGAACCAACGCACACGAAAACACCTATTTTACATACACAAAGAAGATCATCGACCTGAAAATAGATAGAAAAAAGAAACAAGCACACAGAGAAAAAAGCTGCAAAACAGGCAGCACCACGATTTATCAAAAGCCCGATACCTCTCAGGTGCAATGGTATCAAAAACCCCAAAAAAGATAAACCAAAAATTTCGACACGACATTGGCATCAAAAAGCTTCAATCAGAGTTCAGAGTCTACCATTTTTTGAAAAAGGCTCACTGAGTCACCACAGCACAGCTCAATGAACTCGCTCCCTCACTGTCCACCTCAGCTTTTCCCACACTCCACTCTCTGTCAAACCCAAACCATGCAACTCCAAGCTCCAAGCTCAGGAGCCTCTGCTCGACCAATCTGCACACTGCAAAAACAAAAACCCTAAAAAATTGATCTTCGATCACATAGAGCGCGCAGTGACGACACAGATTGAGAAAAATACGCAGAGCTCAAAGCGATCAAACTGAATTTTCAATAACCTATACATACGCAAATTATATGTATATAAGCACGATACACAGAAAAATGGAGGCCAAAACCTAGAAATTGAGAAGAATGAGAGGAAAGAGTACCTTCGCCGGTGCGATTTTCCCGCGCCGGAACACAGAATTTCCTTTTCTTTTTACTTTTTATTTTATTTTTTTCCTGAGAAATAAGACTGTGAAGGACTGGGCTATGAGAAAGATATTGGTGAGCTTGGGTGGCAATGTCTACTACGGAGCTCTCTACCATTATGTTTATGGCCCTGTTATTAGTCACCGTACACGTGGCCAGTTTGGCTTTTGATGGGTTTTCTCCGTGAGCTCTCTGTTATTAGGGGACGTTCGATATAGGGATGTCAACGATGCGGATGAATAACGTACACATAGTTGCCGGATTTGTCATATCCACTATTTCTTTATTTTTAGCATCAAATTGAATAAATGAAACGAAAATCATCAATATAAATAGGATAATATTAGGAATACTAAATTTGAAAATTATATTTGTCAAAACTAAATGATATGTTACCAATAAAAATAAGCACATTTATCAACGTTTAAGTAATAAATCAATCATCAACTTTCATATCATTTAGTTTCCAAAATTTTGTCTACAAATTTAGTCTACCTAGCATTACCCATATAAATAATACAAAATTACTATTCTTATCCCATTTGTATTATATTCTAAGAGTAAATTGCCGATTTTTTTGTTGAACTTTTACTTAACTTTCGATTTTCTCCTAAACTTTTAAATTGGAAAATTAAGGACTCAAACTAGTTTTTTTGGCCAATTTCCCCCATGCTGTTAAGTTTTCATTCATTTCATTCAAATTTATGTTAAATGGAAGTATGTACGCAACATATGAAGGTAGTCTGGTCACTTTGTTCTTTTAAATAATTGAAAACCTTAGATTTCTAAAATGTTGACATGTGCAAATCTGTGTAATTCTATAGCTTTTGTATCTAAAGGTCTAGCGAAGTGACATTTTTGTCTTCAAAGGAGAGTCACGTGGTGTGCACATGATAAGAGTTAACGATAATTTGAATGGAATATATATGAGACTAATGGTAGGGGGAAATCAGCAGTTTACCCTATTTCTAATAAAAATAGGACTTACTATTTATGTTAGTGAGCCATATTATATTAAAAATGTGGTATGAAAAATGTAATAAATGTAGCATTACTTAATTAAATATGAATGTAAGAAAAAAATACAGAGCTTGTTTATTATTTTTCTTCTCACACATATTCATCGGGTATTCTTGATAGCCATGCTAGTCGAAAACCATATTTCCCATCGATTAACGGGAGACTATGATTAAAAAAATATATATCGTTTATTAAAATATCAAGACATCCACGTCTAAGAATAAAAGATATGATTAGAGAAAACAATTAGTATTTAAAAAAATATATTTACATTGTGAAGTCAGACTTCCACTTTGAGTCGGATGTTACTGATAGCAAATTTGGTTTTCCAAAACAAATAAATAAATATATACATACATACATACATACATACATATATATATATATATAAATATATATCCCTTGTTTGGAAATGCTGTGAAGGTCAATAGTATTTCTCTAATGAACAGTCGTTTATTTCCATCCCACATTTGTTTGTGTAGTAAAGAAGAATGAAAGTCTGTTCGACTTTCCAATATTTTCCTTAAGAAAAGGAAACACCCAGAATATTTAAGTACAAAGTTGTAGTTTTAGTACTTAATCAGGACAATTAATGATGAGATAAGAAGAAAGGTTAGCTACTCGATGAGTAGGAATTTCTAATCAAAACTCTTCAGGTCTAAATCATAGAGATTTGTATTTATGATCAGAACCGTTCATATTATGAATTATATTGTAAAGATCATCTCTACAAAAAATGAATTAAAATTAAGATCGTTTAGTCAATCTATTATAGCAAATACATAGACCATTCATTATGCTTTTACCAATTCTGTTCATCTATTTTTGTACAGTTCGATGTCTAAATGAACTTAGTTTTAATTGATTTTTTTGTAGAAACGATCTTTATAGAGTGATTTATAATATGAACAGTTAATTATCATAAATACAAAGTTCTATGAATCGACAACGAACAATATTGAGTAGGAACACCTACTCATTCTTTGAGTAACCAAATATCATTCATGAAATAAATCAATAAATGGTTTCAAAGGAAAGGAACGAGGAATTTTTGAATATGTCAGAAACATCATCCGGTATCCCGAGTGCCATAATACAATTAGTTTAAGTTTTTTTTTTTTTTTTTTTTTTTTTTTATAAGTTTCCAACCAATTGTATTATACTATTAGGTGTACCAGGCCGTATTCGTAGCACACTAACATATCTCTCATAAGGGACAAGCGAACCCCCAAGACCGGGGATTCAAGGGAATAGAGTTTCATACTCATTTCCAAGCCTCTAATATGCGAACATGTACTCCATTGCAACTTAATTCCAGGTGCTGAATAGTATTAATTACCAAGTTAGATGTTAAAATCCTAGGGTTTTGGCTTGCCAAACAATCAACAGAAAAATTGCTAATTAGAGTGAAGTCAGATACACAGCTCATCTCATTCTTTATCACAAAGGCTCCAAAAGGATCAGAAAGTAGATGTCTTATTTGGTGCTAAAACAAACATATACTGATATGCAAGACAGAAGGAATGAGATCAGAAACCCTGACACATCCTACAAAAGAAACATAACCATCACAAGGCATATCCATCGTTATAGGATGCCAAAGCAAAATTTTCTAGCTAGAAACTATTCATAAGATATAGAAAATTGATCGTTCCTGGTGGGTAATTAAGCGGAAGAAAGTATGACAAAATGTCCTAATGCCCTCGATATCCAGTTGCAGAATAAGGGCTAGTCCGAGAAGAAAGAATGCATGCTCTTTGGCGTTTCCTTTCTTGCGGCTAGAGGGTGTTCCATGCTGAAGGGAAAACAAAGTGCTAACTCAAACACGACACAGATAGATGTTTAAAGAGAGAAACATATAGCAGTTCAATCGACAGGAACGGGCCAACAGTGTAATTCTACTGACCTAATTCTACAAACAGGAAACTGCTTCGTCTCTCCCAATGAAATCTTTGCAGGAGTTCTCTCAGAAAAAAAATAAAAAAATTGCGCACGAGTAAGGGAATTAATTAGTGTAACTTACTCAAAACCTATGTTCTTCCCAAGGATTTAGTGAATGGTTATTTTATGACATGAATCAGGAAGTTACTTGTTTTCTTGATTTTTCAAATTTATTTACTCGTAATTGACCAAAACCCTAACCCTAATTAAACGCCCAAGAACTCCACAATTGAAACCCTAAAGCTTGTAGAGAAGTCAACTGATATCATTCCTGATATCTTGGCTTAGTTTAGGAAATAAATTTGTAATTGATTTCTATAGATTTATATTCCTGTTGTACACCTCGAATGTAGGCTAGTTTACTTCTCTGTCAAAAGTTCTTCTTTGTATAAATGTCTTGGTATCAATAGAAGAAAATCACTTCCGCAAAATATATTTTTACTCTATTTTACAAAGCTGCACATTGAAAAATATTTCGAAATGCCCATCTTTCACCAACGCATAATCATATCCCAAAGCCTCCAACTATTGACACGAAGCTACTTCGCCAGCTGGTTGGATTGCGGCTGCAAGGTTTGACGAAAGTGATGGGAAGATTAGAGAAGCGAGACGACTGATTCAAGAGGGTTCGAGTAGTGCCCCAGTAGCGAGGATGTGTGGTTGGAAGCGTGTAGGCTTGCGACGAGCTGCGAGGAGAAGTGGCTTACTGCGGTCGTGACTGCTGCCCGCGAAACCCTCCAAGAAGCTTATGCCGCCATTCCCAATTCTAAAGAAATTTTGCTTGCTGCTTCGAAGCTTGAATTTGAGAATAAAAAACCTGAGAGGGTTCGAATGCTTCTTGTCAAGGCGCGACAAGAGGGAGAGGGGGAACGAGTGTGGATGAATCAGCAACTGTGTTGAGAGAGAATTAGGGAAATTTGATAAGGAAAGGAAGTTTGTGGACAAAAGGGTTGGAGCTCTTCTTCGTTCTTCAAGTTGTGGTTCATGCATGGATAGCTAGAGGAACGACTTGATAATTTGGAAAACGCCAAGGAGGCTTGTAACTTGCGTCTCAAACAATGCTCCAAGTCTATACCGCTTTAGCTTTCTCTTGCTAGTCTTGAAGAGAGGACGAACAGGCTGAGTAAGGCAAGTGCATGCAGTTCTTACCATGTCCGAAGAAGATCCCTAGAATCCTCAACTGCATCTTGTTGCCGTCGCACTGAATTGAGGCATGGCAATCACAAGGAAGCTGATGTTTTGATGGCAAAGGATTAATTTGCAGGAATGTCCCAATAGTGGTACCTTGTGGCTATTGAGATGGTACTGCGTACCCAACGAAAAACCAAGAGTATGGATACTCTCATGAGATCTGATCGTGATACGGTTTGTTGTTGCTGCTGTGGTTAGTGGACAAAGCTAGGGATTTATACTAGTTTGAACTGTAGCAGAGGAGAACCACAAGGATCTGGTTAAAAGATGTGTTGCGGCGAATCCAAAGCATGATGAGAAATGGCAACCTGTTTTGAAAGCCGTGGAAAACTCTCACCAACCGACTGAAGCTCTCTTGAAGAAACTGGTGGTTTCTCTAGACAAGGATATCAATAGAGTGAAGCAAAAATGGTAAAACTAATTCTTCAACTGGCTTCTCTTTTTTCAGAATCCAGGTTATGCTACAAGAGATTAATTTATTTACCAATGGCTTATATTGTTTCACTTGTTTTTATTTTCAACAGTTATCTAGCACATGTTGCTCCATTATGGCCTGGCTTTGCTTTGTCTCCTTCCTCTTATTTCCTTCATGAAATATATCATCAGTCATTTCGATAATGAAACTACCAGTATTTACTATTCATCAATTCTTTTTATTTTTGTTTATAATTATTTGTTTAATTTCAAAAACTATAATGAAGACAATACTTTGTAATTTTCTTTTTTATTCTTGCGAATTAGACAGAAAATAATAGGTTGACTAGAAAGGTTGGGGGAATAATGATAATTTTGAGGAAATGGGAAGAATGGTGTTTATGAAGGGAAGGGTGAAGTGGAACTTAGCAAGTAGGGAAAGATTGAAGATATTGGTGGGTTTGATGGTACGTCGAAAGTGTAGGGGAACTGAGAGACTAATGGGGTTGGTGAGATGGAGGAAAAGTCGAGGAGGAAATGAAACAACGGTGTCTAAAGGGGTGTAAAGCAACTGCATGTGAGGATGGGAACTAGGGTACAGGCAGGAGATGAAACAAGTAGTAATTAATTCTGATGACACTGGTAATTAGGAGAAAGAAAGTTTTGGGAAGAAGTAAACAGTGGTCATTAGTGCTATAGCCATAGTTTGTTCATATTGTGGCCATACGCCATTGTTCAAGTATAAAGTTCTTCAAAAGCAGGAAGAGCCAAAGTAAACTAGCAATCCAAAAGATAAGAAATTTGTTACTCTGTTTATACATTTTGTTATCACTGTTTATGTGACTTATGTACTTGATGACTGTGGTCTTTAACAGTTTGTTGAGGAGCTGTCCTTGATGTGCCATCAATGCCAGACGAGAAGAGTGACAAGGAGTGTTCGCTGCAAAATATGTAACGGGAAGGGATTTTCTGTTCCTTCCATATGGAACTGTCATGCATTTATCTGCTCACACTTATTCATTTCTGGTTACTAACTTGTAGAAGATGTTAGATTTGTTTGACTAAACCCACATCAATTTATCTGAGTTTATCCCAGTAAAATCCAGAAAAGTTGTGATCTTAGATTTGATTTTGAAAAGACGGAGGGCGATAATGTGATTGCCTTAATGTTTTTAATTATAGTAAAGGGCTTTGAACATTGAACCTGTCCTGATCCTAGTTCATCGCCCCACCCTCTTTCACGGTCACACCATTTGCACTAACCTCCCAAGGGTTTAGGTACCCTCTCTCCCGTCGATATAATATATATGTTTCTTTGGCTACTAGATAATGTTAAGAAATTGCTCTAATAAATCTAGTAATAAATGAGGCATGTGCCAACATAAAAGAGTGTACGCATCATCAACCATATATATATAGGCTTTTTAGCCAAAATGGTCCTTGAAATTGTCCACCATCCATTATTTTGGTTCTTCCATTAAAAACTCCGTTAAGTGTCCTGGAGCTCTTGGCCTGAAGTTTGGGCAATTTTCAAAGCTTCGTAACCCAATCATTTCTTAACCAAATTCGACTCATAATATATCAAAATGAAGATAGGAAAGTGTAGAACAAGATTATACCTATTTGGAAGCCAATAGTTGCCGGAGATGGCCAAAAAATAGCCTGAAAGGTGACTGGTTCGCTGGAAAACTAGCAGGAAACAGGGTAAAATTTAAACGTTCATAACTTCTTCAATACTTAACGAAATCGAGTGATTCAAAAACAAAAAAAATCATAATTCTCAACGAGACGAAGAGAATGGTACCTTTCTCGACGGCTGATTCTCCGTGGTTTGGCCGGAAAACGGCTCGAAATTGGTTAACTCGAGACCAAGACAGCCACTTTCCGGCCAAACCACAGCGAGTTAGCTATCAAGAAAAGTATCATTCTCTTTGTCTCGTCGAGAAGTATGATTTTCATTTTTTAATCACTCGATTTCGTTGAGTATTGAAGAAGTTATGAACGCTTAAAGTTTACCCAGTTCCCGGCGAGTTTTCCAGTTTTCCCACAGACAAGTCACCTTTCAAGCCATCTCCGGCAACTATTGGGCTTCTAAATAGGTATAATCTTGTTCTACACCTTCCTATCTTCATTTTGATATATTATGGGTCGAATTTGGTTAATAAACGATTGAGTTACGAAGCTTTAAAAATTGCCCGAACTTTCAGCAAAAAGATCCAGGACACTTAATGGAGTTTTTAACATAATGGCCAAAATAATGGATGGTGAACAATCTCAAGGACCATTTCTAGTGATTTTCAATTTCAAAGACCAAAGTGATGTGTTATGCAAATCTCAGAGACCATTTTGGCTAAAAAAACATATATATATACACACACGCGCACAGTCACTGAAAAAAACCTTTATACATATGGAGATATTATATAAATACTCCAAATCGATTATTGCCAGAGTATTTAAATCATTGGTGTGTCCAATTGACTATCAGATTGGGATAGACTTCTAAAACGCGTTAATCTAAAAAAATAAATGAAAAAAATGAAAAAAAAGGGCGAGTGTAATATATATACTGGAAGTCTGAGAAAGTAAAAAAATATATTTCGTAGTTGACGGGCCGCCGGCGGTTTATTTTCTGCTTACTGGCATGGTCTTTGAAAATTAAGACAGCACTAAAAAAAAAAATCGTAGTTAAAATTTGAAAAACACCTTTTTACACAGTCACAGACTATCTGCCATGCAGCACGAAATTTTCATAACAGGAAAATTATTTGCAAATTAAGCACCATTAATTGGACTTTATTTAGCTGAAAGCAACGGTCATGTTTCTCATGTTTCACAGAAACAAATCCAACAATCCCCCCACAACAACTACTTCATTGTGGCTACGGTTTTGGTCATCAGAGAAGACTTTTTATATTCTCATATTATGAAGAGAAAGTTTCTACAAGTTGGATCAACTTTGACACCTCTGCATGCATATAGTCAGTCAATCAGACTCATGGGATTTGGCTTTCAGTTCACACAATTTCCCAGTAATTGAGTATATTTAAAGCGATGTTATAGCTGATATATCCATTTGTGTGTATATCTGCAGCCACGTAAGCAGATGACATTGACGGTTTGGCATATATTTTCCTCTGATTGCGGGACACGAATGTAAAAAGAGAAGAGAACACTCTTTACACGATACGCCAACCTCAACACTAAGTTAGGGAGATGATGACTAATTGACAACCTAATTAAGCTAAAGTTAAAGAATTTCATATAAATCACCTGAACCTAGACATAGAGTCTTGAGATATGCCCAAATACAGAGAATCCCGTGCAGATTACTCATATTAATTAGATACTAACCGCGTGTGAAGCGATTTTTATCATGCATCAATATACTGAATAAGAATAATCTCTACTAATTAATAAAACATTCATTGTCAACCAAAATCTATTAAATTATCATTTTAACCTTCTAATGAAAACATAATATGAATAAGAAATATAGAGCAAAAATATAATTTCACACAATTAAATTTTATTGTTTTTTTAAAGCATCACCTACATGTAATCCTAATATATCTCTAATTAAAAAAAAAAAACTTATCACTCCCACATTTTCTATCACTCTCTTCCTCTCTCCTTCTATTTCAAAAACAAAAATAAAAAATTTTCTCACACACTTTATTTGTGTCCATATGCTAGTTGTATTTAGAGTAGCTATATGAACATTTTGAATAGTGAAATAAGTAAATAGTTGGTGATACACACACTATGCACATTAATTAGATACTAGCCACGTGTGAAGTAACTTTCTTACCACACATATCTTGATTACAATGAATAAAATTAATATGTTTTAATTGGAGTGGCAATGTAGAACATGACATACGTGAATATATATATTAGTCGCGGTGGGTGAATATATGTCTTTTTATTCCTTACAAAATTCCTTAATTGTTTTAATTTTATTGGTTTTACCTTCTTATATAAATGGTTTACTCTTGACATTTTAATTAATCAGAGGTATTTTTAAGTGTCTTTATTTATTTATTATTTTTATATTAGGCGATAGTATGGGAGGATGAAATTGAACTCAACACCTCGAATGCAATAATCTTCTTAACCAATTGAATTTTGCCCCCTAAATTTTAAGATATTACGAAAATCTAATCATACATCTCCTAATATATGTGAATAGATTTTAGTATGCAAAACTTTAAAAAAAGTATAAGCAAGATACATGTGGAGTATGAAGGGAATTTGCGATTTAGGCATCATATATTGATTCACACATCGACAATTATTTATTCGGTTTATTCATCCAAACATGTACATGCACCTATTTATGAAACATTTCCACTACTAAAGATGTGTCAAAATGCAAAGTTACCAATTAATTACCACTTCTAGAAGATTCTAGCAAATTTATAATTATCGTATAAATTTTAGTCCTTTTTTTAAATTTCTAATTGGCGTTAATTAATTTCTCAGACTCTTTTTCATCGTTCTGGATTTTCTGTGCTGACTCAGGCTCATCGTGGATGCTTCATCTTTCTTACCATATAACCAAAAATACAGAGAAAGTAAGAAATTTGCTAGAATCTTCTAGAAGTTGAAGGTTCTAGGAAAGACACGTATGTATAGCCGTCACTGCAGACTAGGTCTCTGCAGTACTTCTTGCTATATGTAGTCATGCTTCCATGGTCAGTTACGTCGTTCTGTATATAATCCATATCCTGCTAGCTATCTCATTTTCACACCAAACCACTAATTAACCAATCACGAAACTTTTAAACCCAATATTTTTATTTCCTCAATTCCCCATTACTCTACTCTACTCTTTGTTTTTAGAAGATTTCTTTTCCAACAAGGAACAACGACTTTGTTTTCACTATTCTGAATTGTCAACCACATATATCAAAGTCAAAAATTCATCTCACCGATCAACTTACATACCAACTGGCATACCCAACAATATTATAAATACCAAACACCCTAAACCCAAAAAGTTCCATTCCTTTAATTTCATATTTGACTATCCAATCATCACCAACATTCCAATCATCTCATTTTACACAATCTCTTGTGCGTGAACATGAAGAGAAGCATCACAGATATGAGAGAGCTTGATCACAGCCTAACCATGGCCAACTGTTTGATGCTACTTTCCCGTGGCATCAACAACAACGCTAATCAATATGACTCCTTCTCTGTCTCCCCTAACCGGGTTTTCGAGTGCAAGACCTGCAATCGCCAGTTCCCTTCGTTCCAAGCGCTTGGAGGTCACCGTGCCAGTCACAAGAAGCCCAGGTTAACCGGATCATCAGGAGAAGGAAACAGCAATAGTTCTGATCAGAGTCTGTCACAAGGTTCACCACCAAAACCTAAGACGCATGAGTGCAACATATGTGGCCTAGAGTTTCCTGTGGGGCAGGCCTTGGGGGGTCACATGAGGAGGCACAGGGCAGCCTTGAGCGGTTGTAATACTACTAGCAATGTTCATGAGCGATATTCAAGTTCGAATAGTCTGAATCCTCAGCCTGCGCAAGTATTTCAAGTTTTGAAGAAGACGAACAGCGGTAGGAGAGCTATGTGTTTGGATCTGAACTTAACGCCATTAGAGAATGACTTGGAGACTCTTCAGCTAGGGAAAGCAGCTCCACTTGTTGGGTTTTTGTAATTATATATACAGAGATGATCAGTGCGTTAATTCATCGGCATGATTGTAATTAATCACGTAGGGTTCGCTGATGAGGTTTTACCACGACTCTTCTCTTTTTGGTTACACCGATAGGTCGATCCATCAGTATTTGTTCATTGTAGAATTTATATTTCTATAAGATATATCCCTTTGATTTGTTATTGGTTTTTTATTTATTTGAGAAATGATTTCCAAACACTTTATTTCTCCTCATGCACACCACTGTTTATTTTTTACTTTTGATCGAATAAAGCAAAGGAAAAACAAAAGATCAAAATAGACAGGAGTACGCGTATGATCATTTCCCTATTATTTATGAAATTTATGAGTTTATGGATAAACAAGACAAAAGAAAAAAGGTATTGAGTAGGATGATCATTATCAGTTGATCAAAGCATGTTAATTTCCTCACATAATTTAATCGATTACCAGAATTACTTGGCCTGATCTCTTGAACATATTGATCAATGTGTAATTTCTGATGATGGCAATGAAAACAATCAGAGTAATAAATAAAATTTTGTTAATTAGTTCAATATCGTTTAAGGCATACCTATAGTACATACACATGTATCAAAACTGATTCAAAAAAGCTGCTGATGCACTACATCTCGTATTTATTGGTTGAGATTCTTTCTTCAAATAATCACTTATTCGTGTCTAAAGCAGCAGCCCTTTTTTATGTCGTATAAGTCCCAAATTGTAAGGATGTGAAAGTAAAAGAGTCTCACATTGATAAAAGGAAAAACTTTGTAAGGGCTTATAAGAGGTTGGGTTACTCCTCTTATTGTTAATTGGTTTTATGGTGGAACTTCAACTTTTTTCATGGTAGTTCACATGCTTCACATCAGCCAATTCATGTTGTCCACATGATTGGCTTGAAAATTCCTCACACGTGAAGGGGTGCGTGAGGATGTGAAGGTAAAAGGAAAAACCGTGTTGTCCACGTGCTTGACTTGAAAATTGTCACACGTGCACGTGAGGGGGCGTGTGAGGATGTAAAGGTAAAAGAGTCCCACATTGGTAATTCACCATACGTGAGAGGGCGTGTAAGGATGTGAAAGTAAAAGAGTCTCACATTCATAAAAAGGAAAAACCTTGTAAGGTCTTATAAAAGGTTGGACTACTAAAAGAGTCTCACATTGGTATAAAAAAAAACCTTGTAAGGGCTTATATAAAAGGTTAGACTACTCCCCTGCCAATTAATTTTATAGTGAAATCTCAACTTAAGGGATTAAGAGCATTTTGTATTGATCCATAGCTCTTCCATTTTTAACTAGTAGTAGGAAGCAAGAAATTCTGAACCCATGTCGCTTCTCTAGAAGTTACGTGGGAGGATTAAGTTTCAAAAAAGTCAAACCATGATGCCGTTTCAAGAGATATATAAAGGAAATATTCTTATCTTAGGGTTCCCTTCGTGCAAGTCTTTTTTAGGATCGCTTCCTATTGTCGACACACGTTATTTCAACATTAATGATTTGCTTAACGTTTTAAGAAGACAACGAAGAAATTTTGTCTCGTATAATTAATATGGATTCCCAAAGAGCTTCTAGAATTTGGAAATTCTACTGGGTGCCTTTTGTTGAACATGTATATGGGTATTGTTCTTAATTATTTGAGTTGCATATTCTACTTGAATAGTAATTTAGTGCATGCACATGAATTTGTTTATAAAATAATGTACTATTCCAATATATAGTTGTTCCACAAGAAAATGTATCCTATTAATTAATTGACTACATCTACTAAATGCGTGGAAGTTTTGCAAATAAAGCAGTACCAGAGTCAAGCTTACCAAGAATTGGAAAACGAGCTGTTGATGAATCCCCCCAAACCCCACCCCCCACCAAAAAGAAAATAAGAAAAACGAGTAGCACTTCAAAAATGTTACTTGTATCACATTTTTTATATCATATTTCTAATTTTTATGAGACTCATATGTGTTGGTGGACACTATCTTTATTAGAGAAGTGATAAAAATATAATATGCAAAATGTGATAAGAGTAACATTACTTGTAGCAGTTATTAATGTTGGATGACTCCCCTTTCCTTGGTACATAATACCATGGCCAAAATAGTCTAAAGGTTCTTTGATAAGCTGAGCTTACTTGCTAATAAGACAGTATGAACGATACTTAATTGCCTTTGACGACTTTGCCTAAAAGCTAAATTGTGTCATCCATCATCACTAACCTCACTTTCCATCTCCCATCACTGTCATCATTCTCTATTATCGACCCCAAAATCTGGTCACGCAAAGTATAAACTCCAAGGAGAAGAAGTTACTTTGTTCTAAGCCAGGGCCGGCTCAAGTCCAGGGCGATTATTTAGCATATTTATATACATTTTCATAAGAGTATAGATTTATAAAATTTGGATTAATGACAAAGAAATTTAACTAGAACTGGTGATTTTGTTGTTTGAAATTAATGAGGATGTCTTGGGTTCAAAGCACCATGTGTGCTTATTTAAATTCCAATTTTCACATATTTCTTCTCATAACATTATAAATTTATAAAATTTGGCTAAATAATAAGAAGTTTAATTAGAAGCAATGGTTTTTGTATTAAAAATTTAACGAGAGGTCCTAAGTTCGAAATGCTATGTGCATGTTTATTTTTTTCAATTTTTATGAATTTTTGTTTGGTTGTTAATTTATTTTTAATTACTAGCTAGTAACTATGTGGGTTGCTATTTTTAAACATTCGTTCCAATTCATGTCTAATTTTCAACAAATGGTAATGTGTAGACTAAATTTTTAGACCAAATTTGCAAATCATATGACGTGTCATCAAAAGGTTTAATTTAGTGCCCATTCATTACTTATACATATCCTTAAAGACTAAAAAATATCATTATTTTTTAGTCTTATATTGACGAGGTTAGTAAATAAGAAAAAACACCTCACGATTTATACAAAAACACTTTAAAAGTTCAAATGGAAGACAAAACTCATAATTTATCTATTTGTAAGCCTGAAGTTTTTTGGTTTCCTTCTTTCGATACAAAATAAATTAGTTTTTCCGTGTTTCTAAATTATTGAGTGTGAAGTGCTTTTCTAAAATAATTTTATTAATATCTTACGTGTAAAAACAAATATTTTTTTTTATATATAAAGTGAGGGCACATTTTTTGGCGTCGCCGGGGCCTCAAAAATCTCTTAACCAGCCCTATTCTAAGCCCATGATCTATTATTATTAAGAGAAGGGCTTGGATCACCAGCGTAGGTGGAGGTGATTGTGACCGTTCTTGGGTCTTATAAGCATGAATACTCAAAAATCAATCATGTGACGAGTTAATCTTAAGGCTTATTTGATAATTATTTTGTTTTTAGTTTTAGTTTACTTTTTTGTGTTTAAACTATGAAAAAGTACATGAGTGAAGGATGAAAAGGGTGATAGGAAGAACTAAAAAAGAATGTGAATGATAGAAACAAAATTTTGAAAGTGAATGATAGATTTTGGTTAGTTTTCATTTTGTATGTCTTTCCCGATACATTTCTTTTACATCTGCTACCATTCTTCCTCCACTCTTCTATATCCTTCATTTCTCTTATATTTACACTATAGGTTGGCCCAACTTAGTCCTCTCGTACTAGGATTGGCTCCTCTCAGTTCTACCTTTAATAAGAGTAAATAGAAGAATGTAACTATCTCACGATGTTCTAAACGCAACTCATGTACTACTTGAATCAGAAGGATACAACACAAAAATAAAAGAGTAAATTGTAGCAAAGGTCCATCAACCTTAATTAAATTGGAGCAATGGTCCCTCAACTAAAAATCAATTACCATTGGTCCCTCAACTCATCAAATGTGTAGCTATGGTCCTTTTCGTCAACTTAGTTAGAATTTTGTCATAATAAGTTATGTTGGAAGGACCATTGCCACAATTAGGGTCTCTCAACTCACCAAAACGTATAGCTATGGTCCCTCAACTCACCAGAACGTATAGCTGTGGTCCTTTTCATCAACTTCGTTAGAATTTTGTTAAAATGAGTTATGTTGGAAGGATCATGCATTGCTACAATTGGGTTAAAGTTGAGGGACCATTGCTCCAATTGAGTTAAAGTTAAGGGATCATTTCTCTAGTTGGATTAAAGTTGAGGACCAATGGTAATGGATTTTTAGTTGAGGGACTATAGCTGCACGTTTTGAAGAGTTGGGGGACCAATGGTAGTAGATTTTTAGTTAAGAGACCATTGTTCCAATTGAGTTAAAATTAAGGGACTATTGCTACAATTTACTCAAAATAAAATGATCATTTAATGACCCTTAGCATTTCCCTAATATTGATGTTATGTTTTAACAAGTTTTCCCACGCAAGTCAAGTTAAAACTTAATTTCTAGAATGGTCATGAGGATGGCAGCTCAATAGTTGGTGCAATTGGTAACAATTTTGGTCCAACTTTTCCAAACAACAGAAACGTGTCAAATGTTTGTGCAAGACTCCTAATGAAGCATTACTAGACCTGCACGGTACGATTGGACCAGATTGAAATTCCTTAATTGGTGTGAACTTGATCTGATTTAGGTAGCAAACTTTTGCCATGCATATATCTATAGATAATCTCCCAACAGTATACAATATAATATTATGAGTAAATTTGTAAATTTGAATCACATATTCAAGGAAAATGTAATCAACTTAACGAAGTGTCTAGATCCCTAACATACATATTTTAATATTACCTAACAAGAAAAAAAAAAAAACAAGATAAATTTGTCCTTCTATGCAAATATATAACAATACTATATATGTGTGTGAGCTGCGTGTGGGCATATTCTATAACTTTATTTGCAAAAGAATTCTACTTATATATAATAATCTGACCAGAAACAATATGCAAGGAACATGTTAATGGAGTAAGTGATGACATATGCGGAATATACAAATGAAATTCTAATGTAATATGTATAATACATGTAGTGTCAAGATTAGTTAGCAACTCAATTCTAAGCACACCAATACTGACATAACTATTTCTACAGTCCGAAAATGTTGGATTTTATTAAAAAAGACCTCAATACAATATATTTTGTTAAGTTTCCGAACGTAAAATTTCATTCTTCAACGCATTAGTTGGCCAAGTCTACAAGGAATTGGTAATTGGATTTATAACCTTACAGTCGCCATGGTGACGTCCCGAAAGCTAATCCTCAATTGCACTGCATATTTAAGTTTCTACATCGTTATCCAGTCGAAATTTCCATTTGAATCTGAACCGATCGAGTGCACTTCAAAGTCTGCATGTTCAATAATTTTTATGAAAACAATTTGAATAATTAACGGAGAGGAAGAGAGGGATACATAGGAAATTACTTAATAAATTAACGTATAAAAAAATCTCAGAAGTCATATTCATGTATTTATCAGAAACGGTCCTAACTCTCTGATAGTGTGGAAATTGGACTGGTATAGTATTGACTTAAGAGTTAAGACACCGAAATACTAGACTGACCGGCGCCAAATATTGTAAATACTGCAGGTCTTTTTGTCATGCTCAAAAGCTGGAAATATAAAGGTTGGACTAATAGGGAGTGAGCTCATGAAGCATGACTTTTATTCAGGTCTCCTTTGAACCAGAAGTTTGGAACAGTAAAACCAAAATCTCAGTTACATTTTATAATTTATCCTGGCTCTAAGAATCCCAGCTCCTGATGATATCATATTAATCTTTATTTATTTATTTATTTTTAATAATAAAGGAGGCGTAAAAGAAATTGGGAACAACTTTATTATGCTGACTTTTCTTTCCGATAATGTCATATCTTAATCTGTTATAATACTTGAGAAAGAAGATTCAAACTTCATTGCAGAAGGCCCAATGCTACATTATCAACTAACCTAACTCAAGTATGCACTGATTAAAAACATTATTGACTTAAATTAGTGATTATTGTATTTAACAACTGGATCATATAGAAGGTTTTTATTGAATGTATTTGCTACTGTTTTTGCTAAATTTCAACGTTTATATAAACCTCTGAGTTCAAAGTTGCCCGAGTGTATAACTTGTTGTACAACTTTAAACATTAAGTAATGTAAAATTATTGCTCAACGACTATATACTAACTAGGTCAAATTATCCACTAATTAAGTAATTATAGTTGCCAAGCCAATGGTTAAGTTGTTTAAATATGCAAATAAATAAGTTTGCTGTGAGCTCTCCACACAACTCCGTATTTTTATAATCAGAAAGCTACTGCTTTCCCGGAAACAAGTACTAGGGTTTGGATAATACTCATCTACGCTCTTATTGTCAGCCAAAAGGCCAAGAAAATACATCTCTAGTTAGGCTATAAATTGAACATTTATTTATTACCGTTTTTAACTTGGATTGCACGCCATAAGAGATTTTTAAATGTCACTAATTGTATATACCTAACAAGAGTTTGGACGGAAGAATTGCATGAGTGACATGGCTGCCTTAACCTAACTAAGACCTCCCTTAGACAAATTTTTGAAAGTGCCCGGATATTCAAGCAGGTACTTCACGCGTCATGAAATACTCTCTCATCACAACACGCATGAATAAGTTGTGCAATAAGAAAAACTCATAAATGTATAAAGTGTATACAATTAATGATAAAACAGATCGTCTCCTTTTAGAATTATTGAACAAGCAACAAGTTCAAACTTCAAATAGACTCCATTAAGTGTGAAGAAATGGTTTTGGTAGCTGAGCAATTGGTGCAACTCTAATACTCCTGTTTTCGTTTGACTCTGACCTCACCTAACAAGAGTGCAATGAATAAGAAGAACCCATTTTACACTTTTCTTGAACTGGATATGGCTTTTCGGGTCAAAATCTCATGCTTTCCATGTTGACTTCCCCCGCTTGCCCATCCTCATTGTTAGAACTGAACCAGTTGGGATTTGAGAATTTCGGTTTGATTTGATTACATGAAAGGGAAATAATTTTCGCACATCCTGCTGGCATATGCTTACTTTTAATTTTTAAACAATAAGTTAAAAAAAAATCAAGAGACATTGATGAATATAAAGAGTAGATATGCATAAAATATTAATGTGCGGAAATCATTCTCTATCTGAAACTGAATTTGAGGATGAATGATAATATTATATATGACGCACTTATATTCTCACATCATGCAAGGTTAGACTTGGCCAAGAAAATCATATTATGCTTCTGTCAAAATACCTAAAACCGCTGACCAACATAAACTTGAAGACTAGTGTGGGATTCTAGATGATCTGCTGCTAAGATGACATAATTTGTTTCCTCAAGCTTCCATGAAGTGATTTCAACAGTTTCCCAGATTGTAACTTCCTTGAAATTCATGTCTTCAAAAAGTTTAAAAAAAAAAAATTAAAAAAGAAGAAGAAAAAGGCTGGAGACTTTTATCTGGGTGATGAATTGTGATCTCACATTCACATGATGATAGCATGAATATTCATTGAGTCATCGATGACACGGATAGAAATTTGTTATCCCTAATCTACCAAGAAAATGTGAGAAGTTTACGACCATGCCCCAACGCGGATTCCTCCACCATCCCCCATCTTACCCCACCCGTGGAAGAGAGAACAGTTTCTAACGGAGGAGTTCAGAGAAAGGCAATGTTTCTGCAGAATATACCACACAACCAAGTCATCAAGCGCATATAGTATCTAGGAAGTCTTAAACAGTCTGATGAAGGCTTATCTAACGGCACCAACTCCTTCTAGTTCAAGGTTACTAGTTCAAAGCATCATCACTGCCATTCAATCTAAGTCACTGCTAGCTACGGATCCTACATGCGCACATCAACATACTACGAACTACTTAGAACCGCACTAGAAACTTGCGGGCAAGTAGAAATGACGACACTAAAAACTCTCAGAATCTATTGAATTTTTTATATGTGATCCATGTTCGGACTTAAAACAGGTAAATGGCAATCTCGAGGATGTCCTGATTCCTCATGGTTGTATAAGCAGCAGGTAACCTTCATGTTAAATGCAGGGAAAATTACAACTTCATACATTTAAAAGGCAAAGCTTGTCACCATTTGTTATCCCAAATAGAGCTATCAGAAAAAGCAAACATGTATTTAGGCAGCAACCTCTGTTATATATTAACAAAGAAAACAAACCAACGACATACAAGCACATTGGATTTAAAATTTTGCCTTCTTCTTTTCTATCAAATCAACAAAATTCATAAGAAAAAACCTTTAATTGTACATCAAAGACGCGCACAAGATCCTAATCTCAACATGACTGCAAAAACAACTATCCAAAACGCAAAACTAAGGCAGTAAGGTGGACAAAACCGCAACAACAACCATCCAAAACACAAAATTAAGGCAGTAAGGTGGACAAAAACCGCATAAACAACTAAGCAACAACCCGAAAATGAACTTTGCCTTTAATTTATACCCCACAATCACTTTATTTCTTTGCATATCACAATGCATATTGCATATGTCTACCAAAAGTTTCACATTTCAGTCGGATTACTAAAAGTCAAAGCTCCCAAGCTACACAATAGAACTCATAAACTAAAAACAAATTAAACTGGGAATTGTTTTGTTTACATACAAATTTTGATGTGCTTTCAAACAAATCTGTCCTGTTTTCGTTATTTTTCGGCATCACTGGTTTCGGTTTCGCTGAAACTGCCAAACTTTTGCTTGAAGGATTCCTGTCTCTGCACCCACATCATGTGCCCCTGAAAACTCACAAAAGCATCCAACTTGACTTCCACAACCAGTTCATAACTATAAGACTTACATAGATTATATATAGATTATATATATATTATAACACTAAATGTGCAGTCTCTGTGTGTGAAGAAAGAGATGTTGGTGTACCTGGAGAGCAGCAGCCCAAGCAATGAGGAAAGATGCCACCCAGAATTTCTTGTCGTTGAGGAGCTTCCTGGCTTCCATTTCCCAGAACCCTAACCCCCAAACCCCAGAGACCAATCTGGGTCTGATTCAGAAAGTGAAAACCTTGAGGAGGGTGGCGATAGGGATGATAAAGTTGGGCCTGAATCAAATATGGGTCTCTTAGTATTCTGTGGGCTCCAGGCCCAAAAGACTTCCACTTGAAATTACGAGTCTACAAGTCACCTCAGGAGCAAGCTCAAGGTGTTCCATGAATTATGGTCGTTTGTAGAGATGGCAAATTATCAACATATCGGTTGTTAAGGGGTACCCATCGAGACTCATTTAGTTTAATTTCACCTTGCACCGTCATCATCACGACCAATCTAACCTCTATATTATGGTAATATGTACCCAATAACAACGGTAATGAATTGATTTGCCACCTCTAGTCGTTTGGAATAAAGCTGATGCAGGAACCATGGTGGGTTTTTTTTTTTCCGCTTGTAGCATACTAAGTGACCTAGATCACAGTACCTGTGTTCATGGACAGATTATAAAAGAATGGGTGCGAGGATGATGTTGCGCGAGGATGATGTTGCTGTCAAAAATGCGCTTATTGGCATGATTGCAAATGCGGTAACATATCCTTAGCTGACATTCTGTTTAACAGAACCAAATTTATGAAGGATATGGTATCGTGGAATGTGATAATTCCGGATATATGGAGGGTGGATATGACAAGGAAGCTATATCTTCGTTTCATCAGATGAAATTAGAGAACTTTCATCCTAATTTAGTCACATTTGTCAGCATCCTTCCTGCAGTGGCGTATCTGGCGGCCTTAAAGAGAGGGCATGGCTTTTCATCTGCAGTATACAAACGGGGTTTCTGTCTAATACCCCTGTCGGAAATAGTCTCGTTGATATGTAAGCTAAGTGTGGACAGCTCAGTTTTTCAGAGAAATGGTTTAATGAGATGGAGCACAAAGACAAAGTTTCATGGAATGCAGTGCACGGGCAAGGAGTTGACGCAGTTGCACTTTTCTCACTGATGCAAGAAAGTCCTGTCCAAGTTGATTCTGTGTCATTCATCGGTGTTCCGTCCGCTTGCAGACACGCAGGTCTGGTAAAAGAAGGACAGAATATTTTTCAGGCCATGCATGAAAGCACAATGTTGAACCAGAGTTGGAACATTATGCTTGCTTGGTATATCTTCTAGGTCTTGCTGGTTTATTCGATGAAGCTTTAAACTTAATTAATACAATGCCAATGGAACCGGATGCTGGAGTCTGGGGAGCTTTATTAGTGCATGTAGGGTGCATTCTAATGCGGAGTTAGGAGAAATTGCATTGAGTCATCTTGTTAAGCTTGAGCCTCGAAATGCCGCGAATTACGTAGTTATCTGATATACGTGCTCATTCTTCTAGATGGGGTGATTCTGGCAAGACAAGATCAATGATGAGTGACACGGGGTTGAAGAGAACTCCGGGATGTAGTTGGGTAGAAGTTGAAAACAGGGTCCAGCCCTTTCAGGTGGGTGACTACAATTACCCAGCCCCAACTTGAGAGCTGAGGACTTGCACAGTATGTGAAATAACTTACTTCAGAAGATGTAAAACTTCGACTGATTGGAAAACTCTATGTGCTGCTGAAGTGCATCGCCATGCTGCAGGTTGCGAAGATGAGAAACCATGAAAAGGCTTTCAATGATGCTACTTGTTTTCATAATTTTGTGCTGGTATCTGCTCGTGCAAAGATCCCTGGTGACCTTGATGAGAGTTGCACAACTCCCATGATACAACTTTAAGCGATCACATCTTCAACAAACAAGATTTTGTCCTCGAAGCTGCCAAGTCTGTCTGCTCACTGCCCCCTGCAGTGAAAGCTACAGATTGTATGGAAACAACCAGATTGAACTGAGAACCACTCTAATAATCACCTTTCCTCTCTAACTTGTTGAACATTTCATTTTTTGTTGCTTTGGTTCTTCTAATTTATTTGCTCGAATAATTGGTTTCGATCTTTGTCACAACGAATGCTGCATCAATTGTTTTCGTTTCGTGTTGGCAGGTTTGACAGATATTGGCCAAGGACGAGATGGCTAAGAGTCACAGCTTGCTGCTGAAGTTGTATTCATTGCTCTAATGAATGTCACCAAGGAATAACAACGTTCCTTTTTGTCCTGGTGAAAGAGATTTTACTAACCACTTGGAGGATGGTGATATTTGGAGGAGGCTTGTACCAATGACACCAGTCTGAAACAATGGACTTGAATTGAGAAGTGGTTTGCTAAGACTTAAAAAAGGGAGAGAAATTAACATACAGCAAAAATGTTACTGTGACGGTATCTCAAATCAATAAGTTAATTTTTTGTGGAGTGTTTTAACTTTCTCACGTGACAGTGCATGATTGGTTTGAGATTAGTATTATTGTTGCATGGAAGGCCTCTTATCCATTGTTGTTGAGATTGGGCAATTAGAACTACTACTAAGGTTGTGAAATACGATTAGAGAAAAGATTATGTACCTACTCAACAAAGAATTGGATGAGAATTTTTTTATTGTAATGAAAAAAATAATCTAAAAGAAATATTCCGATGCCAGGAGTCAAACCTGGAAACTCTAAACCATGAGATATAGTGAGCTACACCGGATGATTGTGCTAATGTGTGAGGAAATCTTTATTTGAACTTTCATTTTCTTAGGTGTATGTGGATGCTCGCTCACGTGAAATATACAACTACTAGTTTAATTACGTATTGCCATGTTATTAAGTATTTTAAGTGAAGTTCTTTTCTTTCTAAGAGGTGAAATAGAATAACCCAGTTGAAGTGTAATGATTGGGTTATTGGCCATCCACCGGGTGTTTCAGGTATTTTAGCAACAAATCCAATAAATCTAGGTTTAGTATCAAAACTAGCTTTTTATGATTACATCTGGATATGTAATTAAACATTGTAAATGCATGAACATCCAAGGGTCCATAGCTCAGTGGTAGAGCATTTGACTGCAGATCAAGAGGTCACCGGTTCGAACCCGGTTGGGCCCTATATTTTATGATTCTTTTTTTTTTTTTTTTTTTTTTTCCTTTTTTTTTTTTTATGTTAGAAATCTGGTGAAAAACTTTTCAAAGCAAATATATATATATATATATATTCACCAGCGATGGCATTGTAAAAAACAGAACATGCATGAATTCCTCCCAAGTTAAAAAAAACCCAAATTTTTAACGAATTTAGTTTAATTACAGGTGAGAAAAACATAATCAAGTATCTGATATGATGAGTATATTTTATATTATATATTTAATCCCATTTTTAGTATATTTTGCTTAATATTTTGGAAGAATTTTGATACTTTGAATTGTATTTTCAATATAGGACTTTTGACTTCCTTTAGAGCAAAACAGGACCAAATGGACGAATTTTAAAGTAATTCCAGTTGGAGGACGTTTGTGAGTCACTTAGCTTGATCGTGTCAAAATATTATATTTTTCCACTAAGCGGTTATTTCTGGCGATAAAATAAAGGAACGATGCGCGGTGCAGGAATAGTGACGTTTTGGGCTTGACTTGCGTTTTTGGAGCTCAAGATAACCTCGGATGGGTTCGTGACCTCCTGGAGATGTGTTCAAAATGTTCTTATCTTTAAAACAATCTATCTTGGGCCGGATTTGGAAGAGATTTGAGGCTAAAACGTCTAGACGGTTTCTGTGCAGTTTATCCTAACTTAATTAGGACTTTATGTTTTAATATATTTTATTATTAGTTAGCTTCCTAGTGAAAATAAGAGACTTGGTTCTCAAGGATTGTGCGGCTGGCTTTTAGGACGCGCTTTCTAGTCTAGGACGCGCTTTCTTTTATGCAACTTTGGAGACAGAAAGTAATTGTTAGGGTTCTTGGAGATTTTCTACTTTAAGATGTTTTCATTCCTTTTATTCTTAATAATATTTTTTATGATTTCAATTATGAATATGCATAACTAATTTCTTTTGCTAAGGCGAAACCTTGTGCCTTAGCACGAATATGTAATTTTAATTGCTTATGATTGATTGCATGCACACTTTGAATTATTAAACATCGTGATTAAAACTATCTAATTGTCTTAATGTCTAATCACCATTAGGATCTTTATAAAAGTAATTTGATGCACTTTTGGTCGGAAGGTTCTCGGAAATTGGCGCTGGTTTCTTGTGATTAATAATTGTAATTTCACTTAAGATGAACACCACGTCTTAAGGGTTGCATGGTTTTTCAAAAGGTTTTCATAAAGCATAATGAGTATCTCATGTTCAGATTTGATCCGAACGTCCGAACGAGTAGCATGTTAAATATACGTTCTATGTTGGAGGTTCCAAGTAGAATATAAATTAAAAAAACCTAACATTCAAAGTGGCATGTGTAGATCATAAGAAATTGGTAAAAGTTCATAGGATTGCTAGGTGATGGTGAAACCCTAATGCTTTCTTAATTTGATTTCTTCAAAACTTTTCCTTTTCTTTCAGCTTGAATATTGCAAATTGTTTTATTTTTATTAATTAAATTCGTTTTAATTTAAGTAGGTCATAGAATCAATCATCTCAAATTTCTGCTTACAATAATTAATTAGAATTTGGTTTGCTTCGATTTATTTAATAATCCCTGTAGAGAACAACGTTGCGAGATCCGTTTATACTACAATAACCTTATCATTCTTGCAAGTATTATAGGAGTTTTTAACCCGTTTGCGTGTGTGGTAAATTCCCTATCATGATACAAGATCCAAACAATGAAAAACAAAATCGAGAATCACTTGCTTCTCCGATGAAATTGCCTTTCCTCACCCCCTACTCGTTTGCTTCCCACGCCTTTCGCCAACCAGCGTCTAGATAACAGCATGCGCGAAACTCCGCACAGCATGCAGATAACAGTTTTCTGTGTATCGACAATCTGGAGCCTTTCCAGTGCAAGGGATTCGCCAGATATCATACAAGGAAATGTCAAATTTCTCTAGCTTCAAACAAGCTACCATCTACAGGCATCGTATGGACATTTCATCCATGTAAGGAGCCTGACCAAGCTATGTCTCGAAAGATTTTGTAGTTACAAAGTTACCGAACTCCCTTGTTAAGGGGAAAGAAATACTTTATA